CATCCTGTACATGCAGGCTTAGATTTGACTGGACGTGACTCTGAAAGCACAAAAATGGTGACATTAACTGATACCATTTTTTCTCTACCCAAATCAGTGTCTGGGGCTGGTGAGGCAGCTTCCTGGTCACCAGGGACCTGGGCGCTTGTTGTTTTGCCATTCTCCATATACAGCTTCTGCCTTACAGTCAATAGTGGCTGCTCCAGCTCTAGCCATTGCATGGGCAGTTTAGCTAGCAGACAGAAGAACAAAACAAGAGCCTTTCCTTAAAGTCGATTGTGTACTCACCTGTTTCCCCACCTGTGACCAGGCTGACCTCAAACTCATGACCTTCCCACTGTAGCCTCCTGAGTGCTGGGATTATAGGCATACACCACCACACCTGGCTTGAGCCTGAATCTCTCAAGACATTCAGTTTGCTTCCCATTGAAAATGACATCCATCCTCAGATGGTCCCACTTTGCACAGGCTGTTCCCCTTGCTGTACCGCCTTGACCCTGCTTTATTGGCTGGCTTACTATCGCTGCGGGGCCTGGTGTGTATGGCACATGAGGACAGCGCATCCCCAGCACCCAGGAGCACGCAGGCCTCACTCAGTATTCAGTCCCCACCTCTATCAAGGGCTCTTCGTGTTCTCTGCAGCCTTTTTCCTAACTGGCATACTGGTAACGCGCTAACTAACGTGCTTTAATAAATCCTAGCGTTATCTGCTCCTGCTGCTGTCTCCTTCTCCCCAAATCCATTGGCCTTTTGCTCCAACCCAGACTGCTCATTCTCCAGGTCCTGGTCCACCTAGCTTTGGACTTCCCCTAACCCTGATGGTTTGAGCTCTGAGCCCTGGTCCCATTTTTCCCTCTTCCGTGTGTAATTTCCCACTGTCCTGGAATTACATCCTCAGCTCCTTAGAGGAAAAGGAGGCACAGGAGATAAACTGAGTTCCCAAATGTCTGAAAATGCTTTTGTTCTGTCATGCTTGGTTGTGGTGTGGTTGTCTGTAGAGCACATTTTGAAATTCGGTCTTTGGTGGAGGCAGGGATCTCTCAGCATCCAGTGTCGTCCAGGAGAAGTCAGTCGTCACTGCAGTTTTCTTTCCTTTGTTCATGATCTCATGTTTTTCCCTTTGTCATCTGTCTTTGATATTCTGAAGTCTCAATAGATAACTGTAGGTGAGTGTGGGTCTTTTTAAAAATATGTACATTATGCCGGTACTCAGTGAGTTCTTAATTTGAAGACATATGTCTTTTGTTGTATGAAAGAAAATTTTATTATGTCTTTGAGAATTTCTTTTTTGGCAGTACTGGGGTTTGAACTTAGGGCTTCATGCTTGCTGGGCATTTCCTCTTAACACCTGAGCCATGCTTCTAGCCCTAATTTCTCTTATTCTTAATGGAATACTTACTAATTTTAATATTAAACATTCTGACTATTCCCTTGTGTTTTAAGTTTTCACTGAACTCTCACTTTGGTCTACATTTCAGGAGAGTTCCATGGTTTTATATTCTACCCCTTTAAAATTTTCTTTCATGTGTAATGTTTTATAATTCCCTCACATTTTCTTTTTTCTCTCTTTCATTTTTTTTTGGGCAGTACAGGGGTTTGAACTCAGCACCTCACACTTGCGAGGCAGGTGCTCTACCATTTGAGCTACTCTACCAGCACTGTTTTATGATGGCTTCTTTTGAGATAGGGTCTCGTGAACTATTTGTTCACGAGGTGGCTTTGAACCTCCATCCTCCTGATCTGCGTCCTAAGTAGCTAGGGTTTCAGGCGGAGGGTGCCTGGCTGTTTTTTTTTCTTTTTTGTAGCAACCTGTTCTTGTTTCATAGAAGCAGTATCTCCCTGAATCTTTCTGCAGATACTAAAAGAAATGTGAGCAGTCTTCGTAGGTGGCAGTTGCATTTGTTGTCATTCAAGGCAGCTCTCAGCTATTCCAGTCCTTAGTTGGACTTGCTTAACTGTTATTGGTCAAAATATTTATTTTTAAAGTATATTAGAATTGTTATCAAAATGAAAGAAACAAAGTCATGTAGTATTGAAACCTTAATTTTGATATTTCAGTAAAAGGAGTTCCTTTTCTAGATTTTTGAAAATAGTCTCATAGCATTTTAAACTTAAAGATTTAATGTAGTTCAAATTTTCATTGATTGTTACTTGTTTTTATAGCTGCCTCCTCATGTTGGTAAATTGTAAAATAACTTAAATAGTGTCCTTGTAACTATGTATAATTATAGGGATGTAAAATACTGCCACTGCATATGTCTGTGTGCAGAAAGGTATGTGGCTCTGCCGAGCCAAGGATTTTTTTAAAATCTATATAAAACATTTTGTATAAAGTCTGCTTTCAGTAGTAAGAGTAATGTTTAATAAAAACATTCAAAGTTCTATCTAAGAACTGCTAAGTATCTCTGTTGTGTGATGAATCTGTTTCCTTTTGCTGTGAAAGTGAGCCTCAATCGCTATCAACTAGTCAGCTATTCTCATGGTTCCTCTGCTGGGGCATAGCCTGGTCCTCTTTAGGATGTGGAACAGTCAATGTCATTACAGGGAGTGAGAGGAGAGCCAGAATGGCTAGGATGGCCAAACCTCACCTAACTCAGACTCTGTTCCTTTTCCTTAGGGACACTGGCCCTTTTTATGGGGTGGGGTGTGCTGGGGAGGGGTGGGGTATGCTGGTGAGGGGCAGGGTGTGCTGGGGTAAATGCTGGCTGCTGGAGGGTTTGTCCCAGCCCTTGCTGCTGCTGCTGTCCTTTGGCAGAATCCCACTTTCTGCCTTTCAGAAAGTTGTTAATAATGTCCCCCTGGGTTATCCCTCCTTCCTGTCTGCCTTGGTCTTACCATTGTTCTGTGTCTTATTTCCTATAACTCTTTGCTTTTTCTTTAACTGTGTACCAAGATTAAATTCAGGTACATAAAAACCCCAAACATCAGTCACCTTTTTAAGAATGAAGATTATTTTTCTCCTCTAAAAAAAAAAAACACAGAGAGAGATCCTGAGATGGGCAGCTTGGCACAGTCCCACAAGGTTGCCATGCTGTCAAGTGTGCTGGCTCTGTCTTCTGCTTTGTTCTTCAGAGCACCTGTCTTCCATCTTCAGCATTCCTCATGGAACCAAATGGTTGCAGTAGTTCTGTTGATCATGGTCACAACCTAGGAAGGAAGAAGGTAAAAGGGCGTAAGACAGAAGTGCCAGCCAGTCAACTCTGCTCCACGTTGAAAAGAGGCTTTTTGGAAAGCCCTTCACTATGGCTTCTGGTTACATTTCATTGGCTTTCACTGTCTATAGAGGCATTTGGGAAATTAGCTTTTTACCTGATAATATGGGAGGTGTATTTGTGAGGAAGAAAGGAAGAATGGACTTGGGTTTGCATCTAACTCTGTCATACCGTCAATAGTGACACTTTGGGATGGGGCCCAGCCTACAGGTTGGAACTGGAAGTGCAGTCTGTGCCTGCACACACTGCTTTGCAACAGAGGTCAGCCTGAGTGGCCAGTGGTGAGCATGCTCTTTCTTACATGTAGGGGGAATTTGTTTATTTTTGGTGTGCTGGGGTTTGAACTCGGCTTCACGCTAGCCAGGCAGATGCTCTGCTGCCTGATTTATACCTCCAGCCCACAGGGAGAAGTTCCTTTGCTCTTAGCTGCTCACGTCTAATCATGAGCATCTTCTTGTTCATGGTTTACCATTTGTTCGCACATGTAGTGGAGCAACCGTGGCAGTGGCAGACTTTCACAAGTTTTTAATTAGAGCATCTAGATTCATTCCATTTTTAGAGGCAGTCTACTCATTTCTAATTGCTGCCCGTAGCAAAGTACCACAAATTTAGTGGCTTAAAACAACACACATTTGTTTATTTTAATTTTTTATTAAAACAACACAAATCTATTTCCTTACACTTCCAAGGACACAATTGTAAAGTAAGTTTCACTGAGCTAAAATGGAGGTAGGTAGTCAGGACTGCGCTCCTTCTGGAGGCAGCAGGGGGCAGATCCATTTCAGCTTCTAGGGGTCGCCTAAGTTCATGGTCCCTCCTTACCTCACAGCCAGTGGCCAAGTATCTCCCTTTTTGGGATTGCATGGAGCTGCCCAGATAATCCAGCATAGTCTCACCATTTTGATGTGCAAAATCCTTTTGCCATTTGAGGTAACATTGATAAGTTTAGGATTTGGTCACCTGGAGGAAGGGGGTTATTCTGCTTAGCATGGGCAACTCTAACTCTACTTCCAATGGTATGTTTCTTTATTCTCTAAAACTACTTTCCAGAAGACTTAGCTGAGAACCATCATTCCATTTTCATGACCGAAATTTGAGCCTTTTATTAGGAATGCCGGAAAGACTATCCTCTGTGTTTTTAAATTAATCCTGCTACAGAATTCTCGGCAACTTTTGCAAATGCTGTCATCTAGTTCATATGGCATTTCTAGGGACAAGGCTCATAAACTATTGTTTATCACTTTTTCATGTGAAAAATATGTAGGAGGACTTTTTATCAAAAAGGTACTTCGAACAAAATTTTGTCATACTGAATTTTTAAAGATATAAGTTAACTTTTCATTTGTTTGGTTGTTTTTGCTTTTTTCAGGCAGGTCTCACTATGTAGCCAAGACTGACCTGGAATGAGTGATTTTCCTGCCTCTGCTCTCCCACCTGTTAGGCTTAAATATACATTATCATGCCTGGCCAGTAAGTTAATTTTTTAAACTAATTTTTTCTACTTTAGTTTTAGTTCACTTACTGGACTTTTAGTTTTTTAGGAAAAATAAATTCAATCTGAAATGTCAGTAGTAATAACTACCAAAACACAGAACCCTTGCCCTGAACCCTGGGTAGCCAGGACACCTACATAAAGAACTCTTTGACAACATTTCAGTGTAATTGTATTTTCCTCTATTTTTTTCAGTTGGGGGATAGCAGTGTTTTACTTTTTTAATCCCAAATAATATCACTATAATTAACAGATCTCTCTCTCTCTCTCTGCCCCTCCTGTTTCTGTCTTTATAGCTTAAGAAATGTATAAAAACTCCAGAAATCCCTTCTAAACATGTTAGGAACTGGGTCCCAAAAGTCTTGGAGCAGCGACGGCAAGGTTTGGAAACATATTTACAGGTAAGATATGTTTAGATCTTCAATTAATATAATGTAATTTAAATAATATGTCTTACTAGTTTTTATCAGGATGTATGATACAAAATACGTCAAGCAGCCAAGGATTCCAAATTAAAGATGGGTGTTTAAAATTACAAATCCATTGTTGGTTGGTTTGTTCAGCTTTTTTATTAAGTTCTGTTTGAAATTGGTTTATGCATTGGGAAGATGAAAATTTAGAGTAAGAAGAGAAACTGATACAGAGAGGATGTGTCCGTTTTTTAGTTCACTGTACAACTTATTTTGTTTTTGGGCTTAGTAATTTTGTTGTTTTTGGTGTTTGGGGGCTGGTTGGGGTGGTGAGAGAAAGTGAATTTTCAGTGGGCCTGGCTGACACATCTCTGGGACCACATTGAGAATGTGTGAATAAAAATGGCCCATGACAAAGTGCCACGTTCACTGAATCAGAGCATGTACTAGGAATAATGCAGAGGAGGCTCTTTTGCAGCTGACAAGAGCAAGCTGCTCAAGTGAGGTAGACAAGAAAAAACAAGTGACAGAAAAAGCAAAGGAAAAGGTAGAACAGTATCAGCTTCTCTGCATTTTAAAACAAAAAAGCCCTACGGCATCAGGTGAATATTCCAAGAAATCTGCAAGTTCAAAGGGAACTGCTTTGGGCAGGTGTGGGAGGGGCAGGCCCCGAGACCAGCCAGGGCCACATGTGAGACATGACACATGACAATGACTGAGGTGAACATGGGCAGAGGCAGGGGAGTCTTGCCTCTCAGAAAAGAAGTGCTGGGGTTAACATAAAAGTTTGGAATTCATGCCTGACTCTTCCAAGGTCTGTCATAGTACGGAGAAATTGGTGGCCCTGACCATGCTCTTCCTTTGATGTCTTGGCCGAGCTCTAAGCGTCATTAGTCTCAGAGTGGATTCGGCTTAGTAGGAAACTAGGGGCCGTGTGAAGCCAACAGACTGTTTCCTCTGCAGAGCTCTGGTGGGAGGTTGGGCCTGGGTCACTGTGATTGACCTGGAGAGATGCCGTGTCCATAGGCTTGTCCTTACCTGTAAAGCTGAAGGATCTCTCAGCAGAAAGATGCCAGACGTCCATCCTGCCTCCTGTCGTTGTCCTGGTCTTTACAGTAATCAGGTAGCAAGCTGACATGCTGAAGGCTGTCGAGTGGGGCGGAGGAGGACTCTCTTCTCCATTTTTGTTCTTCTGCTTCAGGGTTTGCTGGAAGGTTCTTCACTGCCTCTTCCTGGGGGTGAGATCTTGAAGGAAACAGGGATTGCAAATCACAGGAATGTGTGTGGCCTCGTTCCTTGAGATTGTGTGCATAGAGCTGTGAGACTGACTTCCATAGCTTCAGGCAGCACTTCAGAGCAAAAGACAAACCCAAAACCCCAAAAAACGAGACTTCAGAAATTGTATGTAAAGGGTAAAAATGCATGTTCTCTATAATTAGGTGGAATAGGTAAACAGTTCATTTTCATTTGTAAGCCAGATTTTCCACAGATATTGTATATCTTCAAGCTTTAGCTCTGAAGAAGGCTTTATTCTTTTCTCCCCATTGTATTTGACACATGACTTCCATTACTACTCAGTGTAAACATTTTAAGTTGTTTGTACTTTGGATGTAAATATGTGGATAAGATCATCTGGCACAGAGAGGAGTTTATAGTGACACTCAAATTGAGCTTAGAATTTTCTATTCTCAGAAATAGGGCTTGAAAGATGTGGTTGAAGGGCTGAGAGGGCTCACTTCCTGTTGTGCATTTAATATTCAATTTGTTGTCACTTAGTTCCCCACAGAGATCAAGGATGCTTTCCCTTCTCCCTTTCCCACCCAATTCTGTCTGCCCGCAGTGGAAGCCAGACAAAAGCGGTAGAGGTGAATGTCTTGATTCCACGTGAGATGCAAAACCTTGCCAGATGTCATCTCTCGAGGTTTAATATCAGCCTTTTGATAAGGTAGATAGTGTGACTGTTTCTTCTGCTTGCTGCCTGCCTAACTGCAGTTAGAATCCCACTCGCTTTCGGGGCCAGGTGGAAGCCCCGGGGGTGGGTGCTGCCAGCACTTCTCCACAGGCACCATCCTGAGCTGGACAGGGTGACCCTGCTGGGCCCATGGACCTGAGAGTGCTACTCCCTCCAAGCTGTGGTGCCCCCGAGCCCATCAGTTAAGTTCTTGATTTCTCACCTGTAAAGCTGGCAAGTTGGCTCTCGAGAGGGTCAACAGAAACAGCCCCTCCTCCTATGCAGAGGGCAACTGGGCACCTTCTGTGCCCTGGTGAGTGCAGCCCCACGTGTTCCCGGAGGTGGCCCATGCTGCCCTTGGGTGTTAGACATGGAGAAGCTTACCTCACCTGCCGGCATAGATCAGGTAAGTATAAGAAAGGGTCCTGTAATTGTACACTATTGCAAGCGCCCCTGATGGATAGAAAGGTACAATGGATGATGCGTGTAAGTCTACAGCTTGAATAGTTAAAATCCTCTGAAAAACTGTGTTTGTTTCTGTGTTTTGTGCTTAGTCATCTGGTGTAGAGAAGAGTTTTTTGTTTATTTGTTGTTTGAGACAGGGTTTTGCTGTGTTGCCCAGGCTGGCCTCAAACTCCTGGGCTCAAGTGACCTCCTGTCTCAGCCTTCCGAGCACCTGGTATTACAAGACGTGTTCCTGTGCCCTGCTTGGAGAGGCCTTTATGGGGACATGCTGAGTATTGAATTTAAGCTAGAGACTAACTTAAAAACCAGAATCCACCCATTTTCCAAACTACTTTTTTCCTGTCTGAGTCTTAAACAGAGCACAGCCTCTCTTGGCACCAGTACTCTTTTAGTTCTTCCCATTCCTTTTCTGGTCACAATAGTTTGAAAATGAGAGGTATGGAAGGTCCATACTTGCCATTTATTTGGCTATTCTTCAGTTCAGAATTGAGCACACCATATTAATCTTAAAGATGTTAATTTATAAGTATCTGTTTTCCTCCTTTATATTTTAGCATCTCTAGTCAATTTAAATAATATTTGGAGGTACTGTTTTTATAGAATGTGTATTTCTTTCACATCATTGAAAAGTGAAAAATCTTAAGTTGAACCATCGTAATTGGGGTCCTTGTATACCAGATGTTTTAACTTGAAGATAGAACAAAATTAACATTTTACATTAATTTACCAGTAAGTGTTACACACACACATGCATGTGTGCAGTTTTGCTTCATGATAAGCATTCACCAAACCCTGTGGTGTTGGATGCAGAAAGGTAGACCTAGCCTTGAACCGTAGCCCAAATTTAGTGACCATAGTCATTTTATCCCTTTTTCCTCTCTGTTCCCCATGGTCCGAGCTTCACCTGGGCAAGTTCCAGGATCTCCCCTCCCCTTACCACAGACACCAGAGCCCAGGGGAAGGGCTGGGAAAAAAGAGGAGGTGTTTGTCACTGGAAGCCCTCTCAGGTCTTACTGGCTTGCCTCTGCAGTGTCCACCTCTCAGCCGCGTTGTGGCCAGTGAAGGCCTACTCCTGAAGGTAGAGTGAGGAAGGAGTGATTACCTAGGAAAAACCAGGGTGTTATTGGCAAAAGAGAGTGGATGTTCTGAATGTGATGGAGGGGCAGAGAGCAACCAGCAAAACCCACTACAGAAAACTATACTTGTAAAGTCCAAAAAGGCAGGGAGACTGGAATTCAGAGCTCTTTCCTACGTTAGGTTTATAGAGAATTAAAGTCACAAGTATCCTTGACATTTGGGTGTGCATTTGTTATTGTTTTAAAAATAAAATAGGCTGAGTGTGGTGGCTCACATCTATAATCCCAACTACTTGGGAGGTGGAGATTGAGGAAGATGATTCCAGGCCAGCCCAGGCAAAATTGTGAGACTTTACCTAAAAAATAAAGTAAAAAAGAGCTGGAGCATGGCTTAATCAGTAGAGTACCTGTCTAGCAAGTCTCGAGGGCCTTGAGTTCAACCCCAATAACACCAAAAGCAAACAAACTGTAATTGCTTGTGAGCTAAAAGGATTACTTTCATATTAAAATTTTTATTACCAGTAGTGTTAGGAGCTAGAAAATTAATGAGTATAGCAGCTTATGGTATTCACTGTTTTCTGAGAAGTAAGTGTTAAGAATAAATTAATTGCTGTTTCCCATACTGGTTTGATCATCAAACACAAGTTAGGTCATAGTTTTGCCTTCTGGTAAAGTGATACTTCCTGAGACCTCACTGAAGTAAAAGTGTAGAAGCATGAGAAGAAAATAAAAGTGTAGAGCCCTAAGAAAGCTGCAGTAGATGGGCAGAGAGAGAGGCTTATCAAAGGAAAAGAGGGGTAAGTGCACTGGAGGATGGGAGAGGACACGAGACCAGGAAAAAACAGGCCTGCGCTTGGTGTTCACTGGTGATGGAGCTGGGAGGCGGCTGCCCCCAGCAGTGCTGGACAGCCTGGGGACCAGGCAACTGCAGAGGCACAGGACAGTGAAGCTGAAAACAAAGGGTCCCGTCAGGGTGTGTGTACAGAAGGGGAGCGCAGCCACCGCCTTTGTGCAGAACACACACGGCCTATGGTCATTTTTAAAAAAATTTTTTATTCATATGTGCATACAATGTTTGGGTCATTTCTCCCCCCTTCCCCCACCGCCTCCCTTACCCCCCTTCCTCTCCCCCCCACTCCCTCAATAACCAGCAGAAACTATTTTGCCCTTATCTATAATTTTGTTGAAGAGAGAGTATAAGCAATAATTGGAAGGAACAAGGGTCTTTGCTAATTGAGATAAGGATAGCTATACAGGGAGTTGACTTACATTAATTTCCTGTGCATCTGGGTTACCTTCCAGGTTAATTCTTCTTGATCGACCCTTTTCTCTAGTTCCTGGTTGCTTTCTCCTGTTGGCCTCAGTTGCTTTTAAGGTATCTGCTTTAGTTTCTCTGCGTTGAGGGCAACAAATGCTATCTAGTTTTTTAGTTGTCTTACCTGTCTTCATATTTCCCTTGTGTGCTCTCGCTTTATCATGTGATCAAAGTCCAATCCCCT